TTATAATTTTTTTTCAATTATGGTAAAGATGAAAAGGCACTATTTGTATTCTATTACACATTGTTAAAAAAATAACAATAAACTTACTTCTCTACTATTTATATAATTTTCTATCCATTTATACTTTTTATGTTATTTTGGATATTTTTTCTGTCTATTTTTCCTTGTTTTTCATATTTTTCTAGCTCATTTTCATATTTTTTTAATTAATTTTATTTTTTTCTATAAATTTTCTCACTGATTTGTCTTTATTCCTCCAAATCATTTTTTTTTATTTCTTCACTTGCTCGATTTCTTCAGTAACCAATAACTTATAATAGTTAATTTAAAAATTATGTTTTTTATTTAGTATGTATATTTTTTAAAAAATAAGTTTTAAAATTTTAAATTATATTTAAATATTAACATGTAATTCAATGTTTCACATGGTTTTGAATCTTAAGTATTAATTAATTGATGATCATGCTCATACTCTTACCAACTATGAAATTTATATTTAACATCATATGAAAGTCTAAGACTCAATACAAAACTTAGAAGACAAGTGACAAAAGCAAAAGCTAAATTAGTCTAAATTTATAAAAGATGATGACTAATATAACGAAAATGCAATTACATGATAGGCTCAACATGTGAAGACTCATGTGAAAGAAATGTTATTTACATGTATTGTTGCTTGGAATGAGAATAAAAAGATTAAAATGATTAGACTTTCCACAGACAAGTTGTTTTTTTTATGAAAGAAATATAAATAATTTGAAAATGAAATGAATATAAAGGTGTTTAATTAATTGATGGTATCGATAACTTTCTATGTTATGGCAATCTTCAAATGTTATCCAAGTTAATTGTTTGAAGTCTTACATCGACTAGAGATAAGACTAATTTATAATATATAAGTGAGGTGCAAACCTCACTTTACAAGTTGGTTTTGTGGAATTGAGTTAGGCTTTAAAAGTCCACTTCTAATCTAGTATCAGAGCCTCTTATTTTTGCTGTTCAATATTTTTTTTTCTTTAAATTACTTAATAAATAGTAAAATTTTGTTCTAAATTTCTAGAAAAATGATTATATATATGTGTGTTTTCTTTTTTTTTACATTTAATATCTATAATTTTTAACATTATATTATGTTTTAACTTGTCGACTCAAATAACTTGAATAAAGTATTTAATTTATTAGATAAATAATATAAAAATATTATTAAATAGTTAAAATATAAAAGAAAAGTTTTTTGTTAAAGATTTGGAATTTATTTAGTTCTTTCATATAAAGTTAGTATATAATAATAATAATATATTATTATTTACTATTAATATTATCATGTTTATTATTTTGTATTTGCATCTAACTTTTAAGTTTATAAAATGGAAGTGGTAGAAGTACTAATATTATTGAAGTTTCCCGTAAATTTTATATTTTACAATATATCACAAGTTCAAATGTGAGTCGTGTGAATGCTACATTAATGCAGACAGAGAAAGAGAAACAGATAGAGAAAGAGAAAGATTATTGAGGATAATGGGGAGTTGTAGGGTATTTTTGGAATAAAAGAAAATAGTGGGAAGGTGTAGAGTATTTTTAGAATAAAAGAAAAAAGTGGGGAGGTGGGGTGGTGGAGGGAGCAACACCCTTTCTACTATCACGCACGAGATGTCTATACCTCGGCGTGAAGGGAGTGTGTTGGAAGTCCCACATCGACTATAGATAATGTCAAATTATAATATATAAGTGGGGTGTAAACCTCACCTTACAAGCCGGTTTGTGGGGTTGAGTTAGACTTAAAGTCCACTTTTAATATGGTATCAAAGACATGGTTAAAGCCTATCCTAGCGAGTTCTAAGTGGATATTTCTGTTTGTCGGGCCACTATCGGACTACCCATTAATAAGTGAGGTGCAAACCTCATCTTATAAGTCGGTTTTGTGGGGTTGAGTTAGACTTAAAACCCACTTTCTAATATCAATATTTTTATTTTTCAATTATGCAAGTTTTATAGTTCGTTATAATAACATAATTCTCTCAATTTCATATATGTTCTTATTTATTTATATAATTCTCATCACTGATATATAGTTTGTTTCAATACTTGAGTAACTTTATTATCACTTGAGTATCATTCAATCAATAAGAGAAAAAATGTCTTCAAATATTTAAAAGGTTTAATCATTCACTAAGTCCCTATTTTCGCATGGAATCTCAATTTCGTCCCTTTCTTTCTGAAAATATCAATTGGGTCCCAATTTTATGAAAATTGCAACAAATCGATCCTTTCCGTTAAATTGGCTGGACGACGTTAAAAAAATTATGAGTGGATGCTGTGATGACGAACGAACGCTCGTCCACCTCCGAACGAACGCTCGTCCACCAGCGAACGAACGCTCGTCCACCAGCGAACGAACGCTCGTCGACCTCTTACTGCTGGACGACCGTTCGTTCCACACTGGACGACCGTTCGTTCGGTGGTCGACGAGCATTCGTTCGCTGGTGGACGAGCGTTCGTTCGCTGGTGAACGAGCGTTCGTTCGGAGGTGGACGAGCGTTCGTTCGTCATCACAGCATCCACTCATAATTTTTTTAACGTCGTCCAGCCAATTTAACGGAAAGGATCGATTTGTTGCAATTTTCATAAAATTGGGACCCAATTGATATTTTCAGAAAGAAAGGGACGAAATTGAGATTCCATGCGAAAATAGGGACTTAGTGAATGATTAAACCTTTTAAATATTTGAAGACATTTTTTCTCTTATTGATTGAATGATACTCAAGTGATAATAAAGTTACTCAAGTATTGAAACAAACTATATATCAGTGATGAGAATTATATAAATAAATAAGAACATATATGAAATTGAGAGAATTATGTTATTATAACGAACTATAAAACTTGCATAATTGAAAAATAAAAATATTGATATTAGAAAGTGGGTTTTAAGTCTAACTCAACCCCACAAAACCGACTTATAAGATGAGGTTTGCACCTCACTTATTAATGGGTAGTCCGATAGTGGCCCGACAAACAGAAATATCCACTTAGAACTCGCTAGGATAGGCTTTAACCATGTCTTTGATACCATATTAAAAGTGGACTTTAAGTCTAACTCAACCCCACAAACCGGCTTGTAAGGTGAGGTTTACACCCCACTTATATATTATAATTTGACATTATCTATAGTCGATGTGGGACTTCCAACACACTCCCTTCACGCCGAGGTATAGACATCTCGTGCGTGATAGTAGAAAGGGTGTTGCTCCCTCCACCACCCCACCTCCCCACTTTTTTCTTTTATTCTAAAAATACTCTACACCTTCCCACTATTTTCTTTTATTCCAAAAATACCCTACAACTCCCCATTATCCTCAATAATCTTTCTCTTTCTCTATCTGTTTCTCTTTCTCTGTCTGCATTAATGTAGCATTCACACGACTCACATTTGAACTTGTGATATATTGTAAAATATAAAATTTACGGGAAACTTCAATAATATTAGTACTTCTACCACTTCCATTTTATAAACTTAAAAGTTAGATGCAAATACAAAATAATAAACATGATAATATTAATAGTAAATAATAATATATTATTATTATTATATACTAACTTTATATGAAAGAACTAAATAAATTCCAAATCTTTAACAAAAAACTTTTCTTTTATATTTTAACTATTTAATAATATTTTTATATTATTTATCTAATAAATTAAATACTTTATTCAAGTTATTTGAGTCGACAAGTTAAAACATAATATAATGTTAAAAATTATAGATATTAAATGTAAAAAAAAAGAAAACACACATATATATAATCATTTTTCTAGAAATTTAGAACAAAATTTTACTATTTATTAAGTAATTTAAAGAAAAAAAAATATTGAACAGCAAAAATAAGAGGCTCTGATACTAGATTAGAAGTGGACTTTTAAAGCCTAACTCAATTCCACAAAACCAACTTGTAAAGTGAGGTTTGCACCTCACTTATATATTATAAATTAGTCTTATCTCTAGTCGATGTAAGACTTCAAACAATTAACTTGGATAACATTTGAAGATTGCCATAACATAGAAAGTTATCGATACCATCAATTAATTAAACACCTTTATATTCATTTCATTTTCAAATTATTTATATTTCTTTCATAAAAAAAACAACTTGTCTGTGGAAAGTCTAATCATTTTAATCTTTTTATTCTCATTCCAAGCAACAATACATGTAAATAACATTTCTTTCACATGAGTCTTCACATGTTGAGCCTATCATGTAATTGCATTTTCGTTATATTAGTCATCATCTTTTATAAATTTAGACTAATTTAGCTTTTGCTTTTGTCACTTGTCTTCTAAGTTTTGTATTGAGTCTTAGACTTTCATATGATGTTAAATATAAATTTCATAGTTGGTAAGAGTATGAGCATGATCATCAATTAATTAATACTTAAGATTCAAAACCATGTGAAACATTGAATTACATGTTAATATTTAAATATAATTTAAAATTTTAAAACTTATTTTTTAAAAAATATACATACTAAATAAAAAACATAATTTTTAAATTAACTATTATAAGTTATTGGTTACTGAAGAAATCGAGCAAGTGAAGAAATAAAAAAAAATGATTTGGAGGAATAAAGACAAATCAGTGAGAAAATTTATAGAAAAAAATAAAATTAATTAAAAAAATATGAAAATGAGCTAGAAAAATATGAAAAACAAGGAAAAATAGACAGAAAAAATATCCAAAATAACATAAAAAGTATAAATGGATAGAAAATTATATAAATAGTAGAGAAGTAAGTTTATTGTTATTTTTTTAACAATGTGTAATAGAATACAAATAGTGCCTTTTCATCTTTACCATAATTGAAAAAAAATTATAACTAAAATAAAATTATATTTATTAAATTTTATCATTTAAATTTTTGAAATTGCAAATATAATTTATAGTTTTTAAAATTTTATTTTATAAAACTTTGTTCATGTTACACCCATGAATGTAAAGAGAATGCAGAAGAAAATTAACCTTTCATGTCCAAAAGCAGCACTGTTTGACACTTACATGCTCTAAATAGTACTCTCACCTTTCTATTTTCTCTGAAGCAATAGCATCGCACTCGTTCACCTCTTCTGACGCAATCTCTACAACCGTGAGTCATTATCTGGTATAGGTTTAATTGATTCTTGCATTCTCTCTTTCTTTTCATTATTTTCTCATTTATTCCAATGTGTTCCACCTCAAATTCCAACGTTACTGCAAGATTAGGTTTCATATATAACAAAAAAAACTAAGGTTTTCTCTCATTATTTGAACTTGGAGTTTAATCGTTTGTCCCCAAATTTCTTTTCCCAATTTCAAATGACAATAAATTAAGATAAGTTTTAATAACCAGAAATAAGATTACTCATCTCTTGACCCAATTAATGTATAAACTGTTTAAACCATCATTCACTCAATCAAATTGCATCACAATGAAAGTTTAAGCCTAAACACATCTATTGATTTGAATACTTCCTATGCGGGACTTGATGAATTTATCTTATCAAATTGTTCTTGAATTTGTTTTTGTTTTTTTGCTGCTGTTGATGATTCGAGTAATTTAGTTTTACCATCAGAAATTCTGATGTCTTGAGAAACATCTTTCAACTTAAACAAAAATTTGACAACTTAGATTTATACTAAATAATATATTCGTATTATTCAGTGTAGTGTTTAGGGGATGTGTAGAAGAACCCCAAGCAATAATAGATTATTTATTTATTTTTCTCACAATTATAGGATGTGTTGCCTTCAGAAGGTATTGCATGTTGTTGCCTAAACTAGACCATGAAATAGCACAAAGTACTAGTTCTATGTCCGCGTTCCTTTTCTTTTCCTTTGGAAATTGTAGGTGATAATTTGACTTAGACTTGTCTTAATTTATTTTCACCAGACTAGCCTTCATACTGGGATGAAGAAATCACGAACAGATGAGAAGATTCTCAGCTACAATGATGTGGTGCTTAGGCAATCCGATCTTGAAATCCTTAGTGGTCCATATTATTTGAATGATAGGATTATTGAGTTTTATTTCAGTTATCTTTCTTCAAGCCATTCCTCTCAGGATATGCTGCTGGTTCCACCATCCATTGCATTTTGGATAATGCAATGTCCTGTGGTTGACTCTCTTGGTGATTTCATAGAACCTCTTCATTTGCTTGATAAGGCGCTGGTTATATTCCCCATCAATGACAATGATGATGTTGACAGAGCTGAAGGTGGTTCTCATTGGAGCTTAGTTGCATATTGCCGCAATACTAATGTGTTTGTTCACCATGATAGTTGCAGAGGTATGAATGCAGCACCTGCCAAAAAACTCTATAAAGCTGTTGCTGGATACATGGGATCCTCTGCATCAGCTTCTGAGGTTAGCTTTCAGGAATGCACTGATTCACCCTTGCAAGATAATGGTTATGATTGTGGTTTATATGTGACAGCCACAGCAAGAACAATATGCAACTGGCATGCAAATCATAAGAATACACATAGGAATGATATGTGGTTTTCTGCTGTGAAGGAACAGGTTACTTCTTCTGCTGTTGCCAGCATGCGAAGTGAGATCCTGGCCTTGATCAGAGATCTAATGGCAAGACATTGAGAATAACATGTTCCACATTAAAATCTGTCTTATTTGGTACTCGGTGTCTTGAATTTAAGTTTGAGCTTCCTCTATATCTTGATTTATGAGAAGTGTGAATTCGATTGAACCACAACTTTGAATTTCTTTGATGAGGACTATGGTTTACTATACGTTTAGATTTACGTCCAAAGAAAATGGATGCACGTCAAGCTGAAGCAACTAAGTGTTGCTTTTAAGTTAATCAATCTCTTTTTGACGTGAGTTTGCTGCTATACGTTCGTCTTGAACACTATTGCTGAGTCTATTTGAGCCATTTGAAGCAAATGGGTGTTGCTTGGGCGGTAGGTACAAAGATGACGGTGCATATGGATCATTGAAACCGAATACTTATTGCAATTAGAATGTAATGGAGAAGTTAGTGATACTGATGTATGAGTATTTCAACCATTAACATTAGTGAGATCATATTTCCAGCTGTTATCATCAATTTATCACATCATTTTTAAGTCTTATTTGCAATTTTTATTTTGACACAAGATTTAAATGACTCTCACTTTATTAATTTTTCAATTGACCCAAAAATATGTTTTAAAGCAGGAAAATATGTTATTTATTCTAATAACCTGGAGTATTAAAAGAGACTTGTAACCTTAAGGTCTTATACTTATCATCTTAAAAATGACTATCTTAAAATAAACTGAAAATTACTTAAGTATTTGATTGATTTGGTTGTTATCAATTACTGAGTAATAAGTAATATGTCTCTTTCGAGTATTGATATAGCATTCAATAACCTGGAGTATTAAAGAGACTAAGCTCTTAAACTTATCATCTTAAATATGACTATCTTTAAATCAACTGAGAATTAATTAAGTATTTGATTGATTTAGTTGTTATCTGTTAGTGAGTAATAAGTAATGTCTCTTGCGAGTATTGATATAGCATTCGATATTGATTTTTGATAATCATTTAATTATTTATCAAATTATGATAATGAGTTATATCTGAAAAAGAGTTATCAAACCGAATTTTTCATGTTTTTTATCCTCAATTTCTTATCTGCAATGAGAAAAGTAATAAATTTTGTTTAGCAATAAAAAAAACTAACATTTTCCATTTTTAAATTCAAATTAGCAAAGTAAAATTTTACATTTGATTAGAAAAGAGAACGTATGTACTGTACGATAATTGTATTTTTTATCCATTGTCCATACCCTAGGTCCATTCTATTTTGATTCAAGTATATCAGAGCCAGTACATGTGCAAACTTCTCAGGGACAATTGGTAAAGGGAAAAAAAAATATTTTAACTAACATTTAAAGTGTAAGAAAAAAAAAACATGACTATTCATTGTAGCTAGCTCTGAGAACATAGATAGCGGGCAGGGTAGGGGAAGCCCGTCAAAATTTAAAAAGTTTGTACATTTGATACAATTTTCTGTTCATATATAGTATGAAGCAATCTAAACTCTGTATATCCATTAACATGATTTGACCACTGGAAGTACCACATCGCACGCAAAAGCAACCCTATTCTGCATTCCTGCATCACCAAAAGCATACAGCAAAAGCGTAAAAATTTAATTAAATAAAAGGTGCAGAATAAAATGGCAATCATAAGCGATACATTTGAGTAAACAAACATGCTAAACCCATTCAAATATCCAGATTTTATTCCCAACAAAAGCAGTAATCTATTGGCAACAACACGTTACTCATCCAATTTTAACAATGAGAAACATCTATCAGGAAAAAAAAATTATTCTTTACATAGGATATATTTTCTTTTTCTGGCAAAACGGAGGACGCAGTGTTATTACGGAACCAAGGAACCGAGACAATTTATCAAGTTCATGTATGACATTTTTAAACTGTAAGGATTAGTTGTTCGGAGCAATGGTGAATAAAGCTCGCGCTTTGCAATAAAAATCAAGGTATACCAAAAGTTTCAAAATTGGAGGTCATTTACATTCAGTAAACTAATCAAGCTAATCTCAGAAAATTATTCAGATATATGGCACTCACCTCTTTTGGAAATTATTCACGTCGAGCTAGTGTCCACTGGATAGCTCCCTAGCACTCGCAAGAATGTAGCAAATTCCTGTCATGTGTATCGGTTTTAGAATATCTACTCAGTAATACTTTCAATATACTTTAAAGGATTAAATTAAAGCACACCTTTAGATGTCTTAGGGCATTTTGTGCATTCTGATTAGCCATTGATTCTTCAAAATCAACATAAAAAAGATAATCAAAGTACCTGTATAAGATAAGAACTACGGTCATAATAATCACTAACTATATACCTTTTTTTAAGACAACACAAATAATGATTTTAAGTTTTTAACTGATTAGTTTAAATGATGAATGTATTAGCGTTCAGAAAAAGATAGCTATGACTTTCAGTAATTATACTTGGAATTGCTGCTATCATCTGATGCTCGTAGAGGTTGGTTTCGCAGAGGTCGGCTTTCAATCTGTTCGAAAAACAAATGAACTACATAACTGGAAAGGCCTAAAAAGCAAGCTTGCTAACCTCCTCAAAACATATAACAGGTGATGCCAAGAGAGAGACAACAAACCTTTGTGAGGTTAACCTGACGCAATGCAAAAACAGCAAGGGCCTTGAAAAGAACCCCAGGGCCTTCTTCTAAAGAAAAAACTATGCTTGTCTGACAAAATCAATAGCAATATTTAATATTGATTAGTACGCATAAAACCAATCAATGTAGGAATCCGAAGAAATATGATGTGTTCTATTCAATAATTTCTTCTATTTGTTCTGGGTACCTTAAATGGCCTATCAGTGCCTGGAATTATAGGTTCTCGCGCTAACATTAAAAATCGAGTGACATTATCACTATCATCCTGCAAATGCAAACCTATTAGCAATGAAATCTACTATGAACCGAAACATCCAACAACAGGTTAAAATACTGATACCATGAACCCAGACCTGAATGTCTTCAGCAAGTATATTCAACCCATAGATCTTTGCAGCAGAAGAACTAGCAACTGCTCCTGCATCTTGTAGTCCGAGCAAGGCAACTTGCTACAATAACAATGTTAGGATAAGTGATACTGAAAAATAAGTGGGTAGTAGCACTACAAATTGAATCTCAATCCAATGCCCAAGGCACAACATCTAATCATGTATTCAGAAGATGACAAGAATATGCCAAAATTCTCAGCAGATTAGAATTTGACCAAAGATGACCTACTTATAACTAAGGCCTCTGTTTGGGATGGTTGCAAGTTTTTGGCTTTGGGTTTTAAATGCAAATTTAAAAACAAAACATCTTCAGATAAAATAAAGTATAACTGGAATTTTTTACGTGATCTTAAATAACTTTTTTCCTTAGTTTTCAAAACAATGGAAAAAGATTTTATTTTACTTCTCTCTTTTAATTTTATGGTGATCCCTTACACAATAACCTAAGAATATCACACCACAGTATCACTGATTACGGATCTTGCCAGAGTCGTTTTCAGTGAAATCTTGGGGGGAAAAGATTCTACATGTTTGGATAGGGTCTAAATATACAAAATGCTCTCAAATCTAAAGGAAATAAGCATGTTTCCTAGAAAAGTGGGAATGGTTCCAATGATGCCAAACTCTTTGTAGTACAGAAATTTAAGCATAACCATTGATCAACAGAAACACAAGAAATTACGCCAGCTACATATCTTTTATTACAACATACGATAAATATCTTATAATATCATTTTTTTTTATCTTCGAATATGGTAGAGCATCCTAATTGATCTCTTAAAGTGTGTTTGTTAAGACCAATAAGCTAGCTACTAGAATATAAGCTAGTTTGACCGACTAAGGGTTTTGGAAATCCCTCAAAGTAGCTTATTTTAGGAGTTTCTTATAAGCTACTCCAGAAAACTTCCATCTTTTTGCTTAATTAATTTTCTTCCACTACTCCCTTATATCTTAATACACTTCCTTATTATTTTTAAGTTCGCTTTAACTATTATTAATTATTTCAGTCTTATAGACACAATTAACTAGTGTACTATTTTCAATATTTGTAGGGTTAGTTTTTTAATTTTTTATGCAGTTCAAATTAAAAAAGACTTAACATTACAAATTAAATAAATAAATGTTTAATTACATGATGCAATGTGAAAATAATAAGAGAGAAATTCAATGTAACAGTAATTTAAATTTAAAAAATAAAAATATTTAATTTTTAAAAAAATAAATAAAAATTAAATTTGATTAATACTCATTAAGTTCATTTAAACAAAATGACTTATTCAAATAAAAAAAAAACATATACAACTTTCAAAAAACAAATAAAAGTACTAAACAGTTTAATAAGCATTTATTTATCGGTTAGTTTATCAAACACTTCTAATTCAATAGACTCTACCAAAGCAACTAGGAAGTTATACGCCAAGAGCTTATAGCAACTACCAGCAAGCTTATCAACCACAGCTTTAGCAAACAAATTCTTAGAATTTACTCTTATTTTATATCTTATGATTCGTGTACTTATATATTTAGTATCTTTCTAATTATAGACATATTTTATTAGAATTAGATTCATTAGAATTTGATTTATATGAATATCATATCAAGAATATAGGAGCGAAAATCCTTAAATTATTTGTATTTACTGCCATTGATATCAATCTGGTGTAGTTCAGACTCGTGGTTTCAATGTCTCATGAATGTAATTTTTTGTCTTTCGACACCTTTCAATAGTTCTACACTTACCTTAGCAGCACCAGCTGTATCATCAACTGCTTCTCGCACCAATCCCAATTTTGTCAGTGTGTTCTCACATTGAGCTAGAGCCTGAAAAAGTGTCAGTCTGGGACATGTTTGTCATTGGAAGAATGTAAGGCTTTAAAATGTTAGAGTCAAACCTGTGGATGACTTAGAACCCGGTTCAAATCCTCAAGTTTAACACCATGGTTGGCCATCAAACAGTGACGGACAGCATATTTTACTTCTCCTACTATGTGTAAACTATGGCGGAGTAAAAGGTCATAATTTCGATGGATACTCCCTCCTAAAGAATTCTCAATTGGCAAAACTGCTCTGTCCACAATCCACCTTTCAACAGCCTAAAACAGAAAACCCAAAATGAGAGAAACAATGAGATTAGACCTCTTCGAAAATGTCTATACAAAAAGGTTACCTAGATAACAAAAAAACAACAAGAATATAAGACTAAGAGCTAAGAACTGGAACGTTTGATTTTGAATTTTAAGTGGTTCGGGCAGTTATGCAAAACAATAAGAGTTAAATTTGTCTGGACAAAAACTTTAAGATGAATTCCATGAAGAAAACAGGGGAAATCAATAAAGAAACATAAAAAACAGATAACAGATCAAGAGGAAAGGGTAACAATACTTTACATCAAAAGTGGTTTCAAATTGTTCACACGGCACAGCTTCACAATTTGGGTAGGCCTTATGTGCTGCTGATTCACTGTACGCACCATGAACCCCCTGAAATAGCAGAATTTAGCTATATGAAATCATAAACAATGGATGTTAGACTTCAATTACAATACACCGAATTAAACCCTAATTCAGTCATAAACTACCATATATAGTATGATTGTCAACACCAACGATAAACTCTATATACAATTAGCTCCTGTCACTCATACAATTGAGAGTATAAAGTAAGTCATGCATGAGCACAGCCACACCTAGTAATAAACCTCAAGAAAGTAATGTCAATTAATTGTTTTAAAACAAGATCCACCGTCTATTTTATCGCTATTTTGATGATTGTGCTTGTATACAGTGAATTATGTAAGAATTGCTTGTTTGCGTAAACAGACAAAAAAAATTCCACTGATAATCATGCAATGTGACAAGCAAGCAAACACCTGATATGCCACACGAAGGCCAGAACCGTCAGAAACTGAAGCAGATAAAGGCCCTGAAAATTGAATCGCGAAAATCGTCAATAGTAATAGCTACCAGAAAGATAGAAAAAAGAAAAAGAGAAAGCATGGAATAGATTATAAATAGGTACGCGGAAGAACGAGCGGATCGCGGGAAACGACGTCGTCGGGGCTGGTTCGCAATTCGACTGAGTGAGGTTTATCAGCGAGATCGTTCTTCTTCTGCTTCCCCTCGTGAAGAGAAGAACGAATGCTGAGGTTACGGTATCGTTTCGCGTGAAGCGTGGGGTTGGTGAACGACACGGCGTCTGACGGCGAACACTGGCGGTGGAGATAGGGCGGTGGATGGGCTACGATTCGCGACGCTGCCATCGAGACACAGTCAGAGACAGCTTTTGGGTTTACAGAGTATGGACTGGAAAGTCCGTTTTTAGAGCTTTGTTTGACAACCCCACTGCAGAGTTAAAGAATGTTAAGTGGAAATGCTGCATCTAATTTTTTTCATTTTAAATTAATATATAATATCCACAATATTTTTTATCTTTTAATAAATATTAATATTGCATTTTTTTTTTTAGTTTCCAAGTAATCAATCAAATTCACAAAACTGTCTTAGAAGTAACTCGTTGTCGTGAAGATGAAGAAGTGATGTCTTGCAGTGTACATTTTAAGAAATATTGTACAAAATCAGTTAAAAAGACAAGGGTTGTTGAGAAATATTTGTATACTTTATTTAGATTAATAATATTATCGTGTACAAGTTATCACTTTAAGCTTTATTGAAAAAAATTAAGCATAAATATAATATTACTAATAGAAAAGATAACATGTCGGAGAAACAAATACTTTATATTTCCGTTAATAAATAAAGGATTATTTATGACCACTTTTAATATAATTTTTTATTGAATTCTAGTTTCATTGTCTTTTTATCATTTCCTATTAATATTTTTAGCATTTCAAAGAAAAATATTAAAGTCATGTACACTTAAAACATATTATTAAGTTCTGAATTATCTTTAATCGTATTTATTAAAATTTTGCATATTTACATATTATTCCATGTACATGTGATTTTGTATAACGATATTTAAATAATATTGTGCTAAAAAAATCAACACCGTGTTTTTTAGAATATCAATTTGAATACTGGCGTTTCGGTATCTGTTGCGAGTACAACGGTGGATTAAGTGGTTTTGGTATCTGTCGCGAGAAGAACTTGATTAAGTGGTTAACCAAACAAAAATTATTAATGATATAATTTTTAAGATAAGTATTATTAATAAATAATAATTTTGGGAAAAAAATAATGGATGTACTTTTATGTTAATTTTGATTTTAGTGTAGTTTCAAATTGATGAAATAGTTCTCAAATTTTAAAAAAATAATAATAACGGGCTTACTTCTTTCTAAAACATTATTATGATAAAAACAAAATAAAATTTTATGTTTTTATAATTTGAAAAAGTAATTTAATTGTTTAAAGCTACATAGACAGAACGAGTATGAGGCAAGAAAATAAACAAAATCAAAAATATACTTTTTCCTATAAATTTAAACCTAAATTTATTATAATTTTTATGATTGTGATTAAATTATATGGTAAATTTTACATTATCGTCACATCATTTATTTCTTTACATGATTCTTATGAAAGTTATTATAATTAAGAATGTTATTTACATTAAATTTCATTCAGATAAATAAAATTTATTTTTAAAATTAAATAAAAAGAATAACGGAATAATTAAAAATAGTTGTTTCATGTCGTCTGCACTCCCAGCCTTCCTTTTCCTTTTTATTTAGATTTCATGGGCTGGCTACGTTTATTTTCCCATTCCAATATTTTATTTTATGGGCTGCGATATTTTCTATCATTTCCCTTACGCCCTTTATTTTACTAAATTGCTCCAATATTTTTACTACTCATATGGAGCCTTTTCTTATTTTCCTTTTTTACAACTTTTTTTCTTCAATTTTCATATTTCAACACTTATAATTATTTAGTACTATTATTTTCGTCTGTGCACCAATAAATATATATATATATATATATATATATATATATATATATATATTAAAAATATAAAAATCCTAAAAAGTTATATAAAAATTAAAAAAATATATTTTCTGCTTTTATTTTCGATATTTGTATGATCATCCAAATCGTCAAATACATCAAATTATAAGTATGAACTGTTTTTCTAGTATTTGATTTAAATAATTTTAAATTGGTTTAATCATTCACGAAGTCCCTATTTTTACGTGGAATCTCAATTTAGTCCCTTAGTTTCTGGAATTTCTCATCGGTCCCAAATTTATGACAATTGCAACAATTGGATCCTTTCCTCTCGTTAATTGTCCTCACGGCATTTAGTGTGAGTTGAGTCCCGACGTGGCACGTTGTGGGAGGTCAGTTTCTTATGACGATGGCTGCTGAATCAGGACAATGGTGAAGCACGTGGATACTACATTTTTTACGTCTTCTTCCCCCATAGTGCGACCATTATCAAACCCCCTGCTGAAAGGGAACCCCAGCTTTTGCAGCGTAGCCAAGCGCAGCCACCACCCCAGAATCGGGAACCGCAATCACAACGTCGCACTCAACGGGGCTCTCAATGGCCAGTATTTCCCCGAATTTCCTCCTAGACTCGTACACAAACCTCCCGAAGACAACAGAGTTGGGACCTGCGAAGTATATGTGCTCGAAGAGGCATTGCTTTGGCTCTTGATGAGTCACGAGGCAGAGGGATTGGATTTCCGTGTGGTCCACCACCACAACCTCACCCGGGTTCACCTCTCTCTCATACGTCGCATCGATTAAATCCAGCGCGCATGTCTCCGAGGCGAAAACCACAACACCGTTCTTTCTCCTTCCCATCACCAAAGGTCGGAACCCGAAGGGGTCCCTCACAGCCACCAGCTTGTCCTCCGTGAGGAACACCAGGGAGTACGCCCCCTTCAGATTCTCGCAGGCATCCACGACTCTGAGTAGGAAAGGTCTGTGCTTGGAGGTGGCAATCAGGTGGAGCACGACCTCGGTGTCGAAGGTCGTGTTGAAGATGGACCCGTTGTCTTCCAGTTTGGCGCGTAGGGAGCGGTAGTTCACGAAGTTTCCATTGTGCGCGACGGGGACAGAGCCGAAACGGTAGCCGGCGACGAAGGGTTGGACGTTCACGAGCTTGGAGTGGCCAGCGGTGGAGTAGCGGACATGGCCAATGACGCAGGAACCGGGCAGCTCAGATAACTTTGATTAAACCCTAAATACCCAAATTGATACCCCCATTTGTGAATGGATTGAACTTTGGACGAACCGAACCAGAAGTACTTAGAACAATCCTAATCCCTAATTCGATTTTGAATCCCCATTTTGGTTTAAAACATTTCTTTTCTTTTTACTTAAAAAATTGTTATTATCCACGTGCTTCACTGCCCCTGCTTCAGTCAGCCACGTCAGTTAAGAAACTGACTACAGCGTGCCACGTCAGACACACACTAACGTCGTTGGACACAATTTAACGGAAATGATTCAATTGTTGCAATTTTCATAAATTTGGGATTCAATTGAGAATTTCAGAAACTAAGGGACTAAATTGAGATTCCATGCGAAAATAGGGATTTCGTGAATGATTAAACCTTTAAAATTCTATTTTCTATCTTTTTAGTTTTTTATTTTTGATGTTTGTATAGCTGTTCGCATCTTTGATATCCTAAAAAATATAAATATAAATATTCATGTTAACGCTTGTGTGGTCTTGGTATTCGAACCTTTCTTTTTTATTAATTCAAAAATATAATATTAAAAAAAAATCAACATTTTCACTTAAATAAATCATTATCTTACGAACAATGTATGTCACTCTAATATTCAAAAATAAAAAAAAAATTGTTTCTCTTACTCGTTCTTTAATTCTTAATTTTGAAAAAAGTAAACATTAAAAAAAATCACATTTTAGACATTTAATTAAATGTATTTTTTAATATCAATATTGCACAGGGTTAATCTTTTCTTTATCCTAACACTTTCAAACTCAAAATCCAGTTTTATAAATCATGTTTTATTTTTATGATTTTTCATAATGAACTATGATAATATTCTAAAATTTATAATTTTAACACTTTTTTTTTTCACTATCGCAATTTTAGTTACAAGAAGTGTGTTTTAAAAAATAAAAAGCTAATTCATAAGACTGTGAACTTGCAAATGCAATATTTTTATTTTTGTTGAGAGTTTTAGAAGCATATTTCTTAGTTACTGTTCCGGCAAAAAGTTATACCGTGATTTAATAAATTTTAAGTCGTTTGATAAGGAGTGAAAAGGATTATATTTACAAGAAAAAATGAGATAAGTTTGTTGTAACAAATCTATAACTTGCATTCCAATTCTTATCTTTTATTTTTATTACTTTTAATTAATAAAGTATTTGTAAGAACGTTGAAATCTAGCCAAGCATTTTTAAATCTTTATAGGATTATACATTTTTTATAATATTCTTAGATATATAATACATTCGATGAAATATATGTTTTCTCATATTCTCATGGAAATGTTTTATTGTGAAAATCATAACTCAATTCNCGTTAAAAAAATTATGAGTGGATGCTGTGATGACGAACGAACGCTCGTCCACCTCCGAACGAACGCTCGTCCACCAGCGAACGAACGCTCGTCCACCAGCGAACGAACGCTCGTCGACCTCTTACTGCTGGACGACCGTTCGTTCCACACTGGACGACCGTTCGTTCGGTGGTCGACGAGCATTCGTTCGCTGGTGGACGAGCGTTCGTTCGCTGGTGAACGAGCGTTCGTTCGGAGGTGGACGAGCGTTCGTTCGTCATCTCAGCATCCACTCATCAATTTTTTTAACGCCGTTTGACACTATTTAACGGAAAGGATCGATTTGTTGCAATTTTCATAAAATTGGGACCCAATTGATATTTTCAGAAAGAAAGGGACGAAATTGAGATTCCATGCGAAAATAGGGACTTAGTGAATGATTAAACCTATTTAAAACTAGAGTTTTGAGTTATTACACTAGCCTGAAATAAGTCTTACACTAGAATAGACAAAAGCCAATGTTAGAAATGACTGGTGACAATGTTGTAAATAAATGTTCAAGTTAGACATCAAAAATGTCAAATTTTCGACGTTAAAAAGGCGTAAAACGTCGAAAAGCTCAATTTTTTATATTAATTAAGGTTACAAATTCACTTTTTCAATGTTGTATAGTTGCATGAATCATTACATCCTGAATAGAAATGACCCTTAGGCTGCCAAATTATGAATTAGACATCGAAAACCTCATTTCGATGCTAATTAACATTGGAATTTCATTTTTTTGACATTATATGTCCTATAAATTAGGTGAATTCATTAAAATGTTTGGCGCGTAGGTGTAAAATTTACTCACATAAGACATCTGATAACCTAGATTTAGACGCCAAAAACCTATAAGATGTCAGATTCTACATTTTCCGACGTCATACGACCTGTAAAAATTTTATAAAACAAAAACCACTCACATTATTTCCTTACCCTTTCACTTCTACTTCAACCAACATCTTGGTTGATTAGTGTAAGGAAGAACAAAGGTTAGTTTCATGCCACTTACCTCTAGCTAAAGTGTTTTTGTTGCTTTAGTTGGGATATTTCATTAGTTTTGATCGGCTTATATCATTTTTTCATTTAGCATTGACGTCCTAGTGCATTTGTACATGAGTTCAAACTCCACCACTTCCAAGTGAACCAACAACTTCATTCACCAGTACAAGGAAGAACAAAGGTCAGTTTTGGGTTATTTATCATAAATGTACGTGTTTACGCTACCTTGGTTACGATATTGTGTGTTTTAATGGATTATTTCGTGTTTTCGTACTCCATTGAAGGTCTACCACCACGAACAACAATGTCGGGAAGTTCTCCCATCTCCATTGTTACCAACGACTCCCTTTTATCAAGGTTAGTTTCTTGGTTTTGATATACATTATAATATACTGATATATTATTCGATGCATGATTTTTAGTTTCCCTTATTGTACTTTGTAGGTTATTTCTTGTATGTGTTATTGATTTTTGTATGTTTCTTGCAAGTTGGATAATTTTTTTAATGTGATTTTTAGCATTTTATTTTTTATTCACTTTTTAAAAATAGTATGGATCGAAACTAGATAAATGAATGTTGTATGAGTCAAGAATATGAAAAAAGAGTTTTCAAGTTCTTACAATATGTTCAAGAACACGCAAACTTTTGTGAATGAGAGATATTTATGTCTTTGTGTTCGTTGTCTTAATCAAATATCTCAATACTTGGGCAACATGCATGATCATATATTCATCTATGATATAATGAGGAGTTATACACTTTGGTATAATATATTTTTTAGATTTTTAATTTTAATTTAATTAAGTTTTAAATCTCTAATAAATTATTTTTAGAACCAAAATATTTTATATTTTTCAATAAGTTTATTCGTTAAGAGATCATATGACATCTTTTATTGCATATTATATATCGTATTTGATGAATGTGAAATGATTTTGTGATTAATAAAATAATATTATTGTTCTTACAAAATCAACTATATTTTTTTAAAAACTCCAACTCTAACTACTCGAATCCTCCCTTTCTCTCTCTCTTTGAATCCTCCAAGCTGACACTTAAGAGATACTTGTCCTCTTTAAGACTATTCATCCTTTTCTAATCAGACAAGAATTATGTATGTACTTAAGTCAACCAAGTGCATAAAAAGGTAATAAATGCTATAATTATGGAACATAATTAATATATTTCATATAATATATTATTTATATACAATATTTATGGTTTTTATTTTTTACCTAAATGAGTTTGACTCAAATAACTAATTACCTTAATTAGTCTTTGGTTAACTCGTTTGTTTAATCATACCTTAATCACAATCTTTAAGCTAGTTAACTCAATTAACACTTTTCATTTACCAATTTTCATTGATCCACATGTATTTGGCCAAGTTGTTATGATGTGAGATCATAACATGAGGACCAAGTAAATCTAGACACGGGTGACCAATCCATATTCGGACATATGAGGAACACTATCATGATTAGACGACATGTATTAAACCAAACATCTTTACACTACAACCATACTATAAGAGTTGATAACCCAATATCTTTATATATATATATATATATATATATATATATATATAATTATAAATATACATGTTATTTTATATTAATACACTCATATTTAGTGAATACAAAAAATTTACATTTACCAAGAATTCAAAATTTAATTAAACTTTTAAGTTTACATATTCATGTAAATACTAAGTACAAGTATATTTAATGAGATATTTTTATTAATATAACATTTTAATATAAATATCACAAAGGTATCTTAAAAAATTTATATTTACAGTACCATATTATTACCTTTATTCATAAGAAAAAATATAAGCAAATTTTCGTTATATATACTGTTATATGTAGACTTTGTTACACCAATTTTCCCTCTCTTCCTTTTTTTTACTCCAAAAGAATAAATTTCTGATTATGGTCATAATAAGCCTTAAATGTTGGCCCACACCTCCAATTGTTAGGTCTTTCCTCTTAAGTTTTATCTAACTCTAATAATAACTAATAAATTATATTATAGGTTGAATAGGAGATAGTATTAGAGTTTATAATAATAATAATTATTGAGTGTATGGGAAGTAAACATTCCTTTCACTTGAAGTTCAATTAAAGTTAAACAATGTTTTTAATATGTTTTATGATAAGAAAAATAAATATTTGTTTAGTACTATAGACACAAAATCAGAAAAAATAATGAACATTGCTTAAAATGATCAATCCATTGTAATTAGTTTACTAAAACAGCTACAAATTAATAACTAAATAATGAAATGTAACATTTTTTATTCTCATGTAATTTTACATAATTAAATTGTATTATTTAACATTGTCGTTTTCCTAAAATTTTATTAGCTTGATGCAATAAAATAAATTTGAAAATAAAAGTTAAACTAAACGTATTAATAATAATTTAAGACACAATTATTTTTTTAGTTTCTCAAACTAAACTATTTGTAGCTGATGTTGATCGATAGTAATTCATACACCAGTTTCTTGATGTTCACCATCATACAATATAAAAAAAAATTGTTTATATAGCCTTCAAAATTTTGTGAGTAAAATATATAAATACATGATTGAGCCTGCTCCCAATTGCACCTATGGTTAAAAAGCCAGGTTTACTTTTCTACATTAAGGGTACACTTATTTCTACTTAATTCTCCTAAATACAAAAAGAAATTACAATAGTTTTATACTTATTTTAAATATATCAGTGAAAACAGAATGTATGTTAACCGATAATAAAATAATTAAATTATTATAATTTTTATTATTATTAAAATTATAATTTTTTTCTTATTGTGAATATTTATTTATTTATTTTATATATAATTTTTTAATTAAAAAATAATTAAATTTAAAAATTTGATCAAATTAAAAAAGGAAACAATTAAATTTTAAAAAAAGTCAATAAAATTAATAAAATAATTATTTTAATTGAAAAACAAAAAAACATTATATATATATATATATATAAGTCTATTCATTGATTAAAAATGCTTATACATAATTTAAAAATAATTATTACAATAGTGAACTATAACACTGTAGGAGAAGCTATTGTGGTTTAAGAAAATGCTATTATTAATATAATTCAGTTAAATTCAATTTTTTATTATAATAAACACTTATCATTGAGTTAAGTAAAATAAAATAAAATAAACACTTGTCACTGACTGAAGTAAAATATAATAAACACCGTAAGGATAAAAAGAAATTCAACTATAGAAAAGCACGTGCACTTTCTTACTTAAGACATAAAAGAGGCAATTGCACTTAGGAATTATAAGCCGAAAGCTATGTTTTCATTTTGGCGAATAAGATTCAGTGGGACTAATGTGAATTTTCCATTTCTAATGCAGTGGCAGTTGCCAAAGGGAAACTGAAACAGAGTGGTTCCTTCTAACAAACCAACACAGCACGCTTCAAATTCAAACAAACAAAGCCAAACAAATAACAAAACGGTTTTCTCAGATCCAGAGCCGAACTTCCATTGCCGGGAAAATGAATCAGTTCGTAGAAAACTTGCCGCCAATGGATCTGATGCGTTCGGAGATGATGACCTTCGTTCAGCTCATCATCCCCGCAGAGTCCTCGCACCGCGCCATCACCTATTTAGGCGAACTCGGCCTCATCCAATTCCGAGACGTAACTCTCTCTGAGATCCAACCTTTCTTCATTTCTTTCAAAAAAAATTTCTCATTTTGTGCGCCTCTTGTTTTTTGTTCTGCGGAAACATGTTTCTCTGAATTAGTTTGGTGTTTGTGAGTGCATGAAGGTTTGACGCGTTTTCCGTTAACGCTTTCCGTTAACGCGAGACATTGTTTTCGTGTGTTGAGTTTTTGGAATCTGGAGCAACTGAGCGGATTTGTTTGAACGCTTTGTTCTCTTTTTAGTTGTTTTGTGGCTGATTTGGATATGGATGCATGCACAAATAGATAGTTTAGATGAAATATGATTTAAAGTTGAAGAATAGATTTTGTATTTTGTCGAATCAAATTATGATTTGAGAGATTTGTTGATGAAAATTTAGTTGCATTGTTAGTCATGTTTAATTTTGTGTTTAAAACTTAGGCATCTATGATCGGGTTCCTCTAAGGATAAGTTGAGTTACTGAAGTAACGGAAAATAGTAATAGAAGTGGGACTTAAAATTTTCTATTGCCTGTCTTGCATTGAGACGGATGATGGTTTCTTTTGAATTCTTCCTTCCAAATAAGATTGCTGCTCTCTTATCGCAGTCTTATATTGTTCTGTGCTGCATATAAATTTATGTTCAGAAGGCTAAATTTAGAAACTTAGATTTTTGGTTTCTTTTTTTACTTTTTCCTCCAATGACTTTAATGGTGAATTCTATTAATGAATGGTTCATTATGTCCGTAGGAGTGTTAGATAACTATAAACGGGTGATCTAGTGCACGAGGCTCTCACCTAATAGGGTTTGGGGTATGCGCAGGCAGATCATAAACTGAGGCTAATCCCGTGATCATCAAGTCACATGCAAAAATATTACTGTTGCACCGAGGCTTACTCTTGTATTAAAGAGCCATACTGTTTAAAATAGTTATTCATTACTATTTGAAGTATTTTGTTGTATAAGAAGGGCTCTCCTTAGAAGTTGTTTCTTTATGTGTGATCATATGAGTAAAAATTGGTGGCGAACCATGGGAGAATCTCTGTATGTGTAGAGAATTGTTGGTCTTTCAGGTCAAGTTTCTGGATATGTGAAAACTTTGATATTAACGTTCAATCATGGTCTATTTTCCCATACATTTTTGAATGGACAAACTAAAAGTGGTGAAGTTATTTAAATTTTCAATTATTAATCTTCTTCGCAATATCATATATTCCTGTATCCTATTACAAATGATATTTTGGATGGGAACTTTCAGGTGTGTGTGCTAGGAAATCTTCAAAGTTGATTTTACTTTTTCCTCTGCTGCCATGTATTCTAAAATTTCAGTTTTAGAATTCTTCTGATATTAATCATTGCATTACTTATGGATTTTGTTTTCTCATTTGTAGTTAAATGCTGAAAAAAGCCCCTTCCAGAGAACATTTGTTAACCAGGTAGTCTACACTGTGCTAATTATTAGAAATTCTATTGCATTTTGAATTCCCTTAATTTTGTCAACTTTTGGAGTGGTAACTCATTAGTATTATTTTTTGAGGTTAGGACTTTGTCTCGTATGGGACCAGATATTATGAAGCTATGCTTTCCATTTTCTAGTTAGAAAAGAAAGGAAATGTCTTGTAATTACCTAGTTTATTTCATGTTAATCAGAGTATTATTTCAAAAATATCCAGATTTCA